ATTTAAACAAGTCTAGAAGCCATTAATCAATAACAATCAAGAAGAATCAATAGAGAAACAAGTGAGAAAGCATCAAACATCAAGTTTGTGCAATTCAAGCCAAATTTCCTTTCAATATTCATTTTTGCTTTCAAGAACACTATTTGTGCCCATTTGTAATCATTTTTGAGTGTGGAGAACAAACCAAAACCCTAAACCCTAAACCCTAAAAAAGCATAATGACCTTGTAACAAACCAAAACCTAAATTATTGCCCCCATCAATTCCATTAGCTTATTCATTTATCTGGCTTGAAACATCAAAAATGTTAATCAAGGATAACAACATTTTAAAGCATGTTTAGTAACATAAAAGAAAAGGCCGTTCAGTATAGTATCAACTGCAACAATTTCAGGCTTTAAAATTTTGAAGATAAGGATAAACACTGATTTTTTTATGCTCTTTAAAGTTTTCCCCAAACACAATTTCTATTTTTGATCTGAATTAGAACAATGTTTGTAGGTATGTGGAGATGCAAGGATGAAAGCCTGAATAAATGTAGTTGTCCAATCCATCCAAGCAACAAATCATTCAAGTAGCATAGTTTCAAACTTTTAGGAAACAAGAAAAGTAGTCCTTCTCATTGACCTAGATATTTGAAACAACAACATAAACAGAAAGACGTGCTATTGATGCAAAGAATTGAAATTTATGTAAATGTTTTTAACCTACCTGGGGAAATAAAATTGCATGACAGTGCAATCTGTATGGCAGTATTCTGCTTGTCTCCGGTCAGCATCCAAAAATTTATTCCTGCTTTCCTGAGTGTCTCAATTGTTTCAGGTACAACCATCCTAAATAATTAATAAATAAAACAAAGGAACAAATGTTAAATCCAAAAATATATTCCATGGAAATAACGTGTATTTGACTTAAATATAGATGCCAAAAGTTCTCTACACAAAAGTTGGATTTAATAGCTCAACTTCACCTGTAGACGATCCTCTATCGCAGTAACTCCAAGAACCTCAAAATCATGTTCCAATCTTTGACAAACCTCAGCAATCCTCCACTGCAGAATGTTGTGACCAGAGAAACTGAGTCACTCATCATCGAACTTGACCAAAAGTGCGCAAAAGTAAGCATAAAGAAACAAACGGAAAACAAGAAAAATCATTGGATAGTACTTCACCTCTCTATCACTAATGTGCTATTAGCCTCTTTTAACATCAAAGACCACTCTTGATACTCATCTGCTGTCAGTTCACGCCAAGCTAAGCATAAAGTACGAAGCCCCAATTTAGCATATTGTTCTACCGCTTCAATAAATGTTCTTGTTTGTTGCCCTGAAAAAAGTAATGATTTTACCATAAATGTACAAAGTAATGCCCGAACAGCATCAAGATCCATCATGAAGAGAGCCTGTGATAAAGACAGAAACAACAGAAGCCACCATAGGAAACCTTTTCAATTCTAGCTGCTAAAATTTCACAAGTACTTTTTTCTGATTAGAATGAGGTCCCAACAAAGATATTAAAGAACTTTAAGAAATAGTAAAAAGAGGGTGGCAAGCTCAGAACATGGGTTAAGTTGATACATTCCCATATTTTTTCTATAAAATATAAGTCCATGAATGACTAGGATGAGACTTGAAGTTGAAACTAATATATCAGGCAACATGGACTTACTACAAGATCCAAACCTCCAACTCCCCATCCTATAATCGATGCACATGGCCATTGTGCAAGGCAGGATAGCAACAATTATTAGTACCAGGGAACCGAAGATATTCATCAAAGAAAAAGGATGTCCTTGCAGATAGATGCAACAATCATTAAAATAATTAAATCATGCAGACATACAGGCATCAACAATCTTATCAAGAGAAAAACATGCAGCCACACTGACAACAAAGTCGACCATCAAATAAATAGAGATTGAATAAAAAATATAATATATGAGCAAAAGATTGAATAAAAACATTACCAGCACTAGCATAAGGAAGAATTGCTTCGTCAGCACCTTTTGACAAAAGTAAAATTTTCCCCTTCTGGCAATCTTTAACAACACCGACATTCTTTTCCCATCAGAAGTGAACTCCAAAGTCTCCAATACTTCATACTTAATTACTGAACTGTTGAACCTGATCTTTGTACAGTATTTTTAATACACAAAACCTCAATGATCATCCCAGGCCCAGCAATCAACTTCTTTACAGCAAAGAAAAGGTAATTTACCAAGAATATTTGCATTTTTATTGACATAAACCATATGCAATTGAGTAGCAACATTAACAAGAGCCTCTTCATCCTGAGATTGTGCTTTGTACAAGATGGCTCCAGTTTTGCTACAGATGATAAAAACAGGTTGGGATGATATGTATTAGTGAATGTATGCTATAGAATTTTGAAATTACGAACAAAGTTACGATACTGTTATGATCTATCTCTAAATTGCAGCTATTTTTTTTACCAAGATAGAAGATAGAATTACCTCTTTATAGGAATAACAGTATTACATATAGCCATAACTGTGAGAAACTGAACAGAACCAGGAGAGCCACCAGCAACAGCATTCACCAGCCTCGTATCTGTGCAACGGTGGCAAAATTAGTTAAAATCATAGTTTACAATGTTTACATGAAAATTGCCCTCATTATTTGAAAGCCAAAAGTAACACTAACTGATTCAAAGATCCTCCAAATGAATTTCAAACTATTTCTGGAAAAATAAGAAGCATAAAATATTAAGAATACTGAGCTCATTTATCTAAAGCATGCATGCTTCAAATCATTATGTTACTTCCAAGTATAATACTAAAACCATAAAGAATAGCTCATTAAAGATTACATTTGAATGATAAACCAGAATTTACATTATAAAGCGAGTAAAATGAAATTCAATTTTACATTATAAACCTCGTAATCTCAGTATCTTCCGTTTGCATTAATGTATGGGTCCAGGATGGACCTAGGCGGGGCTTATGGGAGTAGGAATGACAACAGTTGAGTTAGGGTAGGGTTTTTCATCAATTCGATTCGATTTGAAAATATATATTTTTATTTGAATTTAATCCGACTTTAAAACTTTATATCATACATTCGACCTAATTTAACTTAACTCGAAAATATATACCCGATTTTCACCCAGCTTGATTTTTTAGTGTATAAATCCGATATGATACGATCTGGTATAAATTAAGGATTTAATTAAAAAAATAATGAAAACTTTAATGAAATTATATTATTATCCTCTGTTCGGGTTGGGTCGGAATTTTTTCACCATCTACCTGAATCCGACCAGACCCGACTTCACACTTTAAAAAATCGACCCGACCTAAACCCAAATTTTTTTAAAAAATCTGACCCAATCGGGTTGGAACCCGTCAAATGCCGGTGAAATTGTCATCCCTAGATGCGAGTGGTTGACTCCCTTTAAAATTTAAAATTATTATATATTTTAAATTTTTTTACATATTTTTAAAATATTTATTTTTCGTCTCTTTATAAGTTTAAATTCACTTTTCACATAAATCTTAGGTCGGGTTAATGAGTATTTAGAATTCACAAAGGTAGAAATAAAATAAATAAATTTTCCTGGCAAAACCTTGGCTTTGGAACAAGTAATCGGTCCCACTGAAAATTCTCCACGTGTTTCAGGTCATCTCATGATACACGTTTTGGAATTATACTGTGAATCCCTTCATAAATAAAATCTTCTTGCTTTCTACTTTTAAATTCATAATTTAAATTTTATATGAATCGGTCCACAGGCTAAAATTCTTTATTTAAATCCAACTCAGATCGGACGAGTCACTTGACCATGAACAAGTCTAAATTTGCGGCCGAAAATTATATAATTTCTTAGGGTAAATTATACGTTTAATACCTAAACTATTAATTTTAATTCGTTTTAGTAATTAAACTTCTATTTGTTTCCAAAACTATGCCTAACATTTAATTTTTGTTTCATTTTAGTACCCACCGTTAAAAACTTAACGTGTTTAGTACCTAAATTATCAATTTTGGTCTATTTGAATACCTAAATTATCAATTTTGGTCCATTTGAATACCTAAATTATAAATATTCGTTCAAGCACAAAAATCGTTCCATTTAAGATTCTTAGTTCTAGAAAATATATATCTCTATTGCTAAACGGTGAGAAGATAATATTCCAAAATAATGAAATTAGGGTTACTTATAGTAGGAATTCTTTGTATATCAAATTAGATGGTATGCTCTCATCTTGCCATGTAGATATTAGGAGGTAGGAGGAAGGGGAGGTTTCTTGCATTTCATGAGAAGTGTAGGTGAAGAAATATAATTATGGCTTTATATATATATATATTATAATACAATTTTAGCTTTATGAATACTCCAAGGTGACATTGGACCTTAAACCTTTCTCTTTCTCTCTGGTGGTGAAATATAGCTCTACCAATTACTTCGATTGCCCCATCTCCACTCTATTCTCATTATTCAATACAGCCCCTTAAGTTTTAGCTTTCTTTAATGTTCAACCTAGCCATTTTAACAATCCCAAAATGCAGACTTTAGACAAAGGTTAAACACACAAAGACACAAAACCTACATTTATTGTCTTACAAGTTTCCTATATGCTGATACACAAGCAAAAACCTTAACTTCTGATCCAAGCAGCCCCCTCTTCTTTTGCTTTGAATGGAACCTACTATACAATAATACTCAAGTGAAAAGGAGAATTTTGTTAGCCCAACTAGATATTATTAAGGTTAATAACTGTTCAAATTTTTTTTAATCAATGGACAATAAACATTAAACACCGTCATGCAGACATTGTTACTCGAACCTGAGACCTCAAGAGAACAACACTCCCTTTTACCATACCAGCTTAATGGATTCGAGTTGATGGCATTTGAATGCAAAGTATTAGGTAAAAAGTGAAAAAGGAGAATTTAATTACCTTCTCAACCCTCAAGATAAACGGGGTTTGGGGGACCAGAGCTTTAGAGGAGACAAGAAACTTTTTCCTTTTAATTCCTCTCTCTCTCTCTCTCTCTCTCTCTCTCTCTCCTTCTCTCTTCCTTGGTATAGTATCGTTTATATTTTGGAGTAGCAGCGAAGGAAAGAAGAAAGGAAAAGCAAAGATCACCTCCATTGTGGAATGGAAAAAAGATAAGAGCAAAGGGAAATGACTTGGTGCAATGGTTGCAGTGATGTTCAAACAATCGACAGAAGCTCCCCTCCATCGTCTCATAAAACTGTGATTGCTCAAAGGCACAAAGATTGCCTCCTTAGGACATGCCCTTCTTGCGGTCATCAGATCAAATACCGCGACCAGGTTCATTGATCGACTTCACTATATATGAATCTCTTTGTTGCATTTACTTGTTGAATATTTCTGCAAAAACCTATATGAAAAGCTGTTATGTTATAGGGTGGAATCCATGATTTGCCTGGTTTACCAGCTGGAGTGAAGTTTGATCCAAGTGATCAAGAGCTTCTTGAACATTTGGAAGGGAAGGTGCGGTCTGATGCTCGTATGCTTCATCCTCTTATCGATGAATTTATCCCTTCCATTGAAGGAGAGAATGGGATTTGCTATACTCATCCGGAGAAGTTTCCAGGTGATCTGACACATACATGTTCGAAATAAATATATTTAATGGTTCATGTTAGAGTTCGAAATAGAAAACCGACCTTGAAAGTAATGTATGCGAAAACATTATGAAAATTCATTTGAAATGATGGAAATGATTAACCATTCTCCTTGCTTGAAGAAAACTGCCAACTAACCTAATGGCACCAAGCATTTTCCATAAGATACATGTCATGAAGAAAATCTTCCAACTAACCCTAGTAGCCTTTGCAAATCTAACCCTAATATTTCATCTTGGTTTGCATTATTTGTCAATGACGTTGACAAGAACCCGGTTCCATGTGTGTAGGAGTAAGCAAAGACGGCCTGGTTCGCCACTTCTTTCACCGGCCCTCCAAGGCGTACACGACCGGGACAAGGAAACGAAGAAAGGTCCACGCCGACACGGAAGGTGGCGAGACGCGGTGGCACAAAACCGGCAAGACGAGACCGGTTTTCATCACCGGAAGGGTCAAGGGGTACAAGAAGATTCTGGTGCTTTACACCAACTACGGCAAGCAAAGGAAACCGGAGAAAACAAACTGGGTGATGCACCAGTACCATCTGGGCAACAACGAAGAAGAGAAAGAAGGCGAGCTCGTCGTCTCGAAAGTCTTCTACCAAACGCAGCCTCGACAATGTGGTTCGATCAAGGACACCCTAAAGGCACAGGGTGGACACGAAGGTCCGCACCACCTCAAGAACAACAGCAACAATGGGCTCGTCGAGTTCTATAATCCTTTCACTGCCTTCAACCAAGGTGGCCAAAGCAGAGCCATCCCTAGCCAACTTCTTCCCCACTTTGCCGTCCATGATGGGCCTTTCATTCCTTGATAAATTACAAGGTAAATACTACACAATAAGCATTACTGGTGACATAATAATATATATATATATAATTGTCCAAAAAGATTGGAAAGAATAAGGAATGATTTTTATAGTAAGTTGAAGAGCAGAAGAAAACATTCTTCGCCATGCAAGAATATCAAGATTTCACCATAATCACCTTTTGTTTTTTTCTCTTTCGAGTTCCTGCTTTAATGGATGCTTTGTACAGTGTAAACAACAAGATGTAAACGTGTCATCAAATTTTAATCTTGGACAAGTTTTAACTTTTGGAAACTTTACAAAGGTGTGATATACTTACCACCTGTAGTACTCCATTAGGTTTTATTATATTCAATGTATACATTGTCGTTTAAAATGTATTTTGAACATTTTTTAATTCCACTTCATCCTTATATTATAAATCGTAAAATCGATTTAGAAGATACAAAACCATGTATAAACGTCCCCTAATTCGAAAGTAACGTGTTTATTCCGTTTTTAATAGAAGTCGATAGTATTATTAAAAATTGAAAATCAAAATTACAATAGGAGTTCACATCTATCATCGTAAACTAAATACACAATTTGGATATTTTATTACAACATTAAAACTAGCTACTCTAGATTATATAAGGATTATATATTTAAAGGGTTAAAAAAACCAACCAAAAGAATCGATCAAAAATAGATATGGACAAATCTGATTGAATCGCAAACGAACCACAAAAGGGAATTAAACTATTGAAGACCATCGAGAATCGCAAATCAGAGCCGAGTGTCGTAAGAAACTATCTACGAACGCAAAATCACGCATCCAAATTCAATCCAAAGGTTCATAGTAACAAGATTTCAAATAAGTATCACATTGATCAGTCGTGATGTCGTCAAATCTAACCCTGAGAAAACATAAATAAAAGAATAGCTAAAAGACTGGGAAAAAGAACAAAAAGCGTACCACAAAGATAGAGATAAACGTGTCACAAAAACAAAGATAAATATGTCACAAAGACATAATTATCTTATTAAGAAAACTAAAAAAAAGAGAAAAGAAATTGACGGTCGGAAACCAACATTAAAACTGGTGTTGTCGCTACTGGCAAAACAAAATCAAAAAAGAAAAAATTGATTTGAACTATAAAAAACAAATTCCCTTCTTCTTTTTTAATTAAAGTGAAAAAACCTAGTCTATGAATTATTTGTAAATTATCAAAGGTCATATATTTGTAATTATTAAATTATTTAAATTTATCATTTTTAAAAAATAATAAAATTTTAAAACCTAAAAATCCGATTTTTTTCTTATTTGTCATTTATTTATATACTCTAATTTAATTATTTTCAATCTATATAATTTTTAAATTTTAAAAGTTCATCAAATCTATTAAGATTTTATTATTAGTTTTTGTAGGATGTGTATATTATATATGTAATTATTTTTTAATTTGATCATTTTTAAAATTTTTAATTTAATCATATTATCTTTATATCATTTGAGTTGTAATTAAAATTAAAATAATATATTTAAGACTTAAGTCAGTGTTAAAGGAATTTAATCCTGCTCATTATTCTGGTATATCAAAGAGGGTGACTACTAAAAGAATTCAGCTCGAGTAAATTCATATTTCTAATTTAGGCCTTGAGGATAGGGATTTAGAGGAAGAGAAGATTGTGCAGGCCGATTTGATAGAGTTAGAGGGTGCTGGGATTTCTTTTTATAAGCAGAAAACTAAAGTTCATTAGGTGCAAGAAGGAGATCCGGATAAGAGGTTTTTTAATTCCACTGTGGATAAAAATAGGAAAAATGGAATACGATTAGGTTACTTCATGATTGTAATGGTAATAGGTTGGAGACTTTTGAACCATGTCTAATGAAATGGTTCAATTTTTCATTAACTTGATTAGGTCTAATCCTCAGGTTCAAGGTTGTTATGTGGATATGTTGGGGGAGCTGTTAAATTGTGTCTTGCCTGATGTTGTTGGTTTGGAGATAGAAAATGAGGTGACTGATTCTGAGATTAGGGAGGTTTTATTTAGGTAGAGGAATGATAAAAGTCCTGGCCTTGATGGTTTCACTGTGGGTTTTTTTAAGGCTACGCAAGATGATGTTAAATTTGACTCCATTGCAGCAGTAAGGTATTTCTTTCAGTTCAATGCTACGACTATCATTCTTGTCCCTAAAGAGCCAAATAATTTCATGGCTAAGGATTTTTGTCCAATTTTCTACTGTTATGTGATTTATAAAACTATTACTAGGATCTGTGTTAGCAGGGCTGTTTATTTTCATGCTTTGATTTCGCCTAGTCAATCTGCGTTCATCAAGGGAAGGAGTATCATTGACAACACCTTGTTGGCTCAGGAATTGGTCAAAGGGTATGCTAGGAGAACTCTTTCTCCTAGGTGTGCCATAAAGATAGATCTTCAGAAGGCTTTCGACTCTGTCAGCTGGCAGTTTTTGTTGGAAATAAAACACTCACACAAACAACTTTTATTGAAACTCAAACAAATATTACAAGAGTACTCTCACTCAAAAACAAGAACTACAACTCACTCTTATAAGACTTTGCTTCTTCACTCACTTAGAAGCTCTTAATTTTTCTTGATGCTTAAAACTAAAATGGGAAGGGGTATTTATACTACTCAAGAACAATCCTACACCACACAAATAAACTAATTTAAACCATTACAAATTCAACAAATATCTAACTCTCACCTAACTAAATTGATGTAAGCAATGACATCATTAATTAAATGATGTAAGCAATGACATCTTTAATTAAATGATGTAAGTAATGACATCAATTTAGTTTGGGTTTGGGTTTAGGCTCCCATAATGGATCAAGTTTATGATCCAACACCCTCCCTTAAACTTGATCTCGTGACCCCTAGTAGGTTCCTTAATCTTAAGAAGTCTTCGCTGGTCAAGGGCTTGGTAAAAATATCAGCAACTTGATCTTGTGACTTCACATATTCAACTTCCACATCTTTTCTTGCAACACACTCCCTTATATAGTGGTAGGGAATATCAATGTGCTTGCTTCGATCATGGAATACTGGATTCTTTGCTAAGGCAATGGCTGACTTGTTGTCGACACAAACCTTGGTAGGCTCTTCTTGTATCAAACCAATCTCCTTCAATAGATTTCTAAGCCAAATTGCATGACAAACACATGAGGTAGCAGCAACATATTCCGCTTCACAAGTGGATAATGTGACAATCGGTTGTTTCTTTGACATCCATGTGAATGCAATATCTCCCATGAAAAATACGAATCCAGTAGTGCTCCTTCGATTATCTATGTCTCCACCCCAATCACTGTCGCTATATCCAACAAGCTTGTAATCATTAGAAACTGAATAGAACAAGCCAAAGTCAATTATACCTTTCAGATAGCGAAGAATTCTCTTTGCGGCTTTAAAATGGGTGGTTGTTGGGGATTCCATGTAGCGACTAACCAATCCAACTGCGTGAAGAATATCGGGTCTCGTGCAAGTTAGATAGCGTAGACTTCCTACCAAACTTTTGAAGAATGTTGGATCTACACTTTCGCCTTCTTCATGTTTGGTCATCTTGATCCCGTATTCTGCCGGTGTGCTTATTGGCTTACAGTTCTCCATCTTGAACTTCTTCAGTATCTCCTTTGCATAGCTTCCTGTGAAATGAAAATTCCATCATTTTGTTGCTTAACTTCAATGCCAAGGTAGTACGCCATGAGCCCCATGTCTGTCATCTCGAATTCTTTCATCATCACATCCTTGAATTCATTAAACATGCTTGGGTTGCTTCCAGTGAAGATCAAATCGTCCACGTAGAGGCACACGATCAAAATATCTTCATCTTTGATCTTGATATATAGAGCATGCTCGTAGGGACATTTGTTGAAGCCATTCTCTTGGAAGTACTTGTCGATTCGGCTATTCCATGCCCTTGGTGCTTGTTTTAGCCCGTAAAGAGCCTTCTTCAACTTCAACACCTTGTCTTCATGCCCTTTGACTTCATAGCCTGATGGTTGCTGAATGTAAAGTTCCTCTTCAAGAACTCCATTTAGGAAGGCGGACTTTACATCCATCTGTTGTATCTTCCACTTGTTTTGAGCTGCCAAAGAAATGATTAGTCTGATAGTCTCCAATCGAGCAACAGGAGCAAATACCTCATCATAGTCAATTCCAGCCTTTTGACTATAGCCTTTAGCAACTAGCCTCGCCTTGTGCCTTTCAATCTCTCCTTTGGCGTTTTGCTTTGTTTTGTACACCCATTTGACACCTATCGCCTTATGTCCCTTGGGAAGTGAGGTAAGTTCCCATGTGTCATTCTTCTCGATGGCCTTGATTTCTTCGTCCATCGCATCTCTCCATTTCTTTTCTTGTACCGCTTCTTGAAAGCTCACTGGTTCACAATCGGCAAACAGACAAAATAATGTAAGATTATCTTGTCGTTCAGTTACCTCATAGAGATCTCTAAGGCTTCTTGTGCGTTGCACAACTCTTTCACTTTGACTCCCACTTGACGATGATGAAGGTGATGAGTCTCCTTGAGTGGTTGATGTTGGTGAAGTGGGTGGAGTTGCAAGCTCTTGTTGAGATTCATCTAGTTGCTCCCTCATTGTCTGCTCATCTTCTTCAAACTGAGGAAAGAAATTGAAGTCATCTGTATGAGAGTTAAAATCCCATTCTCCTTCTTCGTTGAAGACCACATCTCGACTAATCACAAACTTCTTATTGTCTGGATTGTACAACTTGTAGCCCTTCGAATTAGCATCATAGCCGATGAAGATAAAACTCTCGCTTTTATCATCAAGCTTCGTTCTTCTCTCGTCTGGTACGTGAACATGGGCTATACTTCCAAAGGTTCTCAAGTGGGAAATGCCAGGCTTTCTTCCACTCCATGCCTCTTGCGGTGTCTTTCCCCATACACTTCTTGTTGGAGATCGATTTGACAAGTAGACTGCACACGATACTGCTTCCGCCCAAAATTCTTGGGTAGTTTCTTGCTTTTGAGCATGCTTCGTGCCATGTCGAGGATTGTTCTATTCTTTCTTTCTGCCACACCATTTTGCTGGGGGATCTAGGAACTGTCATTGGTCGACGAATTCCATTTGCTTCACAGAACTCTTGAAACTCCCTGGAAGTAAATTCTCCACCTCGATCGGATCTCATGGCTTTGATCTTTCTACCGCTTTCTCTCTCCACTGCTGCTTTGAACTTCTTAAAGACTTCAAAAACTTCTGACTTCTGTTTCAAGAAATATACCCAGGTTTTTCTTGAAAAATCATCAATGAAGAGAAGAAAATACTTATTGTTACCGAGAGAGCTTGGCTTGATCGGTCCACACATCGGTATGGATGAGCTCAAGTGGCTTCTTAGCTCTTGTCTCTGACTCCTTTGGAAAGCTTTTCCTGAATTGTTTCCCGACTAGACACCCTTCACAGAGTTGGTCAGATGGTTGATGTGAGGTAGTCCTTTCACCATCTCCTTCTTAGATAATAGCTCTAGACCTCCAAAATTGAGATGCCCAAATCGAAGATGCCAAAGCCATGATGCATCTTTGTAGCAAGCTTTCAGGCACTTTGCAACATCATTTTGTATGTTGATCAAGAACATTCTATTCTTTGACATCGGCACTTTAGCAATGAAGTTATTCTTATCATCTTTTATAGAAAGATTATAATTATTCATATGAATATCATAACCTTTCTCTACCAGTTGCCCTAAACTTAAAATGTTACTTTTCATATTGGGCACATAGTAGACATTTGAAATAAATTGATGTCTCCCATCTTTCAAACGGATAAGAATGTTACCTCTCCCTTTCACTGCTATTGTGGAATCATCTCCAAACGAAACATTTCCACTTACTGACTCGTCTAGCTCCACAAACATGTCTTTCCTTCCACACATGTGATTGCTTGCACCACTGTCAAGATACCAGGAATTTGCTTGGCCACCATCAGTTTCCTTTCGTGCTAGAAGAAGAGTTTCTTTGCCATCTGTCTTTTCCTCCACGTAATTGGCCTTCTCCTCAATTTTGTTGTTGGGAGCTCTACATTCTGAAGCATAATGCCCAAATTTTTGACAATTATAACATCGAATTTTAGATTTGTCATACTTTGAGTTTGGATTAATTCTTCCACGGCCTCGTGTTGAGCTTTCTCCTTTCTCATAGTTGTTGTTGGAATTGTTATTGTTGTAATTCCAGCCTCGTCCACGACCTCGACTTCCACCTCGTCCATGGCCTCTACCTCTGCCTTGGCCACGTTGGTTTCTATCATTGCGTTGGCTCTCATGCATATCCTTGAGTTGCAGCTTAAGGAGTTGCTCAGTAAACTCATGCTTCTTTTTATGCTTCTCTTCGTATGCTTGCAATGATCCTTGGAGCTGTTCGATCTTCATTTCTTCCAAGTCTTTAGTTTCTTCAATCGTCACGACGATGTGCTCAAATTTGGGATCCAACGAACGGAGTATCTTCTCTATTATCCTCACATCGTCTAACTTTTCACCATTTCTTTTTAATTGATTAGAAACAGCTACTACTCTTGAGAAATAATCTGAAATAGACTCAGATGCTTTCATGTTTAAGGATTCGAATTCACCTCTTAATGTTTGGAGACGAACCTTCTTCACTTGCTCGGATCCTTTGTAAGAGGTTTGCAGCTTCTCTCATGCTTCCTTGCTAGAGCTTGCACTTGAAATCTTTTCAAAACCATCATCATCTAATGCTTGATAGATTAGGTAGAGAGCCTTCTTGTCTCTCTTTCTTGAATCCTTCAAAGTTGTCTTTTGATCTGGTGTAAGAGTAGCAAAAACATCATCATCCGCAGGCTCATTATAGCCTTTCTCTATGATATCCCACACATCTTGTGATCCAAGAAGTGCCTTCATTTTGATACTCCAATTGTCGTAGTTGTTGTTGTTGAGTGTCGGAACTTGGAATGGTGCCATACCATTTGCCATATCTCTCAATATAATGAGATTTTGTAAAATCCGATTGCACGGATGAATCCGGAACGATGAAAAAAAACTTTGGAGGGACTTGGACAACTCGGTCAAGAGCTCCAACTCGGCTTAATCGGCTCAACTCGGTGAGTCAACTCGATTTTCTGGCAGCAGTCTTCCGGCGGTGCGTGGCGGTGCGTCAGAACTCAGATTGAGAAAATTCTGGCGGCGTCGTATTCCTCTCGTCGAGACCTTCGATCTTTCCAACTCTCTCTGATGCCACTTTGTTGGAAATAAAACACTCACACAAACAACTTTTATTGAAACTCAAACAAATATTACAAGAGTACTCTCACTCAAAAACAAGAACTACAACTCACTCTTATAAGACTTTGCTTCTTCACTCACTTAGAAGCTCTTAATTTTTCTTGATGCTTAAAACTAAAATGGGAAGGGGTATTTATACTACTCAAGAACAATCCTACACCACACAAATAAACTAATTTAAACCATTACAAATTCAACAAATATCTAACTCTCACCTAACTAAATTGATGTAAGCAATGACATCATTAATTAAATGATGTAAGCAATGACATCTTTAATTAAATGATGTAAGTAATGACATCAATTTAGTTTGGGTTTGGGTTTAGGCTCCCATAATGGATCAAGTTTATGATCCAACAGTTTTTGCTGAAGGTGCTTAAAGCTGCGGGTGTGCCATCTTGTTTTTTAGGCTGGATTGAGGCTCGGATTACTACTTTAAGGATTTTAGTTTCCTTCAATGTTAGTTTGGTTGGATTCTTTAAGGGTAAGAGAGGTGTCAGGCAGGGTGATCCTTTGTTACCCTACTTGTTTGCTCTGGTGATGAATGTTTTATCTGCTCTATTAGATAAGGTTGTTGTGAGGGGAATTTTTAGATTTCATCTTACTCACCTTTATTTTGCAGATGATTTATTAATCTTCTGTCATGGCTCCATTGATTTTCTTTTGGGTGTTCTGAGTGTTTTGGATCTGTTTTATGATTTATCTGAATTGAAACTGAATGTTGAGAAGACTGAGTTATTTGCTTGTGGCATGACTGAGGCCCAAATCAACTCAATTCAGGTAGCTACGGGGTTTAAATTGGGGCGCTTGCTTGTTCGATACATGGGAGTACCTTTGGTTACAAGAAAATTGACTAATAAGGATTGCTCGACTTTGATGGATAAGATTAAAGCAAAATTGGGGCAGTGGTCTAGCAAAAATCTTAGCTATCTATGGTGGTCGTTTGCAATTAATAAAGGTTGTTCTTTGTAGCATGGTGAATCACTGGAGCAGACAACTTGTTTTACCCAAGTCTGTGATTTCTAAAATTAAGCAGTTGTTCATGCTATTTTTCTAGCATGGTAGTGATTGCCCTGCTGGTGGTGCTTAGATCAGTTGGACCCATGTTTGCACTGTGAAGTCTGAAGGGGGTTTGGGTTTGAAGGGTCTTCTTGGTTAGAACAAAGCTTATATTTTTAAAGGGATTTACTTCAGGCATGTTGTCTGTAAGCCCTGGTTTAGTTGGATCATGAGGAGATTGTTGAGGTTGAGAGATGGTGCTGAGGTCTTGTTTGATGGTATTGTGAACTAGTAGATTGTAACCAGTAGGTGGGTGCGGGCGAGGATTCGTGATAGGAGGGATAAAGTGAGTTAACATAAATTCATTTGGTTTCCTACTCACATCCCTAAGCACTCGATTACTGTTTGGATGAACTGCTTGGATAGGTTGCCAACTGAAGACAGACTTGTGCAGTTTGGTGTTATCTCGGATGAGCTCTGTGGTTTATGTGGAGTAGAGATGGAGTCTCAAAATCATTTGTTTACTGATTGCTGCTACTCTAGGAGGGTTGGACAGGGTTCATGAGGATTTGTAGGCTTCATGTGTGCTTCATAAGTTGAGAGCAGACCGTGTTGAGGGCAGTTGAGCATTGGAGAGGTAATTCACTTCTTATTTGCATTCTTAAGCTCGCTTGGGTTGGTTTTTTGCATAGTGTTTGGGAAGAACGTAATTTTTGAAAGTTTAGAGGTGTTGCTCGATCACACTGATATCATTGTTGATAGTATAAAAGATATAATTACGTAATAATACTTGTATAGAGAAAGAACATAAGGTGAATGTGAGGTTTTGTGTTGACTGAGGGCTGCCTTAGGGGGCTCTCTTTGGTTCATTGCAGTTGCTTGGTTGTTTTCTTTTGAATGGAATACCTAATTTATCAAATATATATATATAAATTAAATGTATAAGTTACAAATACTAACGAATGCAAATGAAGCTGGAATGGGGTTTTATTATCAGCCAAGCTTTACATCAAGCAAAAGCAAATATTCCAGCTCTTGAAAATCTTCCCATGCCATAGTATCATATATATCCATTAATAGACGGCAGATGGCATATCGGCACTACTCCGACGCCCAAAAAGTCTCTTGTTTGTCCGCCACTAGTGTCCCCCTCCTGCGTGCGCCGCCGTTTTGCAGGATACATTTGCAGTTGATTTAAACCGAAAATATCATTCACCGGATTTTCTAAATCACTCCCGAGACTAACCGGTGAAGTGTCCGACACATACAAACCGTTGCCACACTTCGTTCCCAAGCTTCCTAGGAACAACGAGTCGGTGGACGTCGCGCCGATTTGAGCGGCTTTCTGCAGCAAAGCTGTTGCGGACATATTCGCGGACGATGGCGGTTGATGAGATTGGAGCTGCTGGGTGCTAAACAATGAAGGAACACTCACGAGCAGAGCTCCGGTTTCCTTGACATTGTTCAACGGAAGCGAAGTGCACGTTAGCTCTTGAGCAACACTCGGTGACACCCAATTTAAATGATAACCGGATGCCGGAGGATCGGTGTATATCGAACCCGAATTCAAAGAACCAAATCGATGAACATCATGGCTCATCCATAAAGAAAGTCCACATGTAGTTTGATCGATTGATGTTTCATCAGTGCTGGAAACTGGTTTGAAGATAGACGAGAAATGTTGGTTCTCCATTAGATGATAATTGATCCCGCCGTGCATGGTGGTAGCTGCGTTTATTCTCGCCGTCTCCTCCGCCAGGGCATCGCAAAAAGCCCGGTGAGTAACGAAACTATCTCTTCTGTTTAACAAACCGTAAATATCAGCCAGGCTTCATCTTCAAGCTCTATAAAAGTAAGGATATTTTTAGTTTTACCTTGAAAATAAAGTACCACAGTCGCATTTGTATTCCCTGGTGCCGCATGTTTTTGAGTGAGCCTTCCAATCCGACTTCACAGCGTATCGCTTCGAGCACTTGTCGCACTTCCACTTCTTCTCGCCGTGCTTCCGACAGAAGTGTTTCTTTATGCCGGTGAGGTCCCCGAGAGCCCTCGATGGATGGTGATGCACGCAGGTCTTTTCCGGGCACACGTAGACTCGTTTTCTCGGTTCTTTCGTAGCCCTTTGCTTCAGCTTCCATGGCAGGTTATGTCCTCGCCGGTGAAGCTGAAGGTTCTGGTCTCTTTGGAAACCCTTACCGCATATTTCACACAAGAATCTGTTGGTCGCCATTAAAGTCTTCGGGGACAAAGCTATCACTTCTGCTTCAGGATCTGGTAAACAACAAATATCAAAACTACATTTACTTATCAATATTAACTTACAATTACAAATACAAAACATAGTATATATATACTTGGTGTTCCTGGTAGGTTTCTTTTCTTCTTGGCAAGTGGAGGATTGGACCCAGGCAAAGGATTTGTAACAAAAACATATGGAATCGATGCTTCTGTCATCTTCTCCAACATCATCTTCTTTATTAAGAAGAAAGCTAAACGAAGATGGAATACAGATTATGTGTTGATGTTGTGGTTAAGAGGAAAAGCTCATCGATCAAGGGACTCGAGTGTATAAGCTGATGATATATCTGAATGAATGGATCCATTTAAATCATAATTACATGCTTTTAGGTGGAATATAATAATATGAGAGATGAAAAGTTAAAGTTGAGAGGTTGAAGAAACCGAGAGGAGACAGGAGGTGGGAAGAAAGCTAATCTCCATACTTTTTCATTTGGAATGATTGTCCCATAATTTGTTTGCTTTTCGTTTTTAGCCCTTTTTATATTCTCTTTGCAATTTTTAATTCAACTTGCATATTTTGGTATATTGCTACGAAATTTGACTAAGATAATAGTAACAGTACGGAATAATAAAGTAATATATCTACTCTTAATAATTTGATAATAATAGAAATATTATTTTCTTTAAAAATCTTAGATTCAAGTATTTTTAAAAGTCGAAAACCTTAGCCGCTTTCTCTATTCTCTCCTTCCTCTTCCTTTTTTTTTCTTACAGTTTGTGCCATTTTTATAGATCAAATAATTTTTTTCTTTTTTGACTTTGTTTAGCCGACGGTGATATCAGTTTTAATAATAGTTGTCGACCGTCGGTTGTCTTTTCTCTTTGTTTTTTTAGTTTTTTAATAGGCTTAAGGGTCACATTTTCCCTTATAGTAGACTCAATTTATCACTTTCGCCCCTATCGTGTTTTTGCATAAATTTAGCCCTCGAAGTTGCTCAATTACATCATTCTATACTCTACCCCTGACTTAAAACCTTAAATAATAAACCCTAAGATATGGTTTAGGATTTATGGTTTAGAGGTTATGAAGTTGTGATTTAGGTTTTAAGCTTTATAATTTAGGCTTTTAAGTTAGAGAAGAGTATATAATTATGCAATTGAGCAACTTCGGGGGATAAATTGATGCGAAAACACGATAGGGGAGAAAGTGATAAATTAAGTCTACTATAGGGGCACAAGTTAACATTTTGCCATTTTAATAAAAATAATTTTGACTTTGTGACACGTTTATCTCTGCTGTGTGACACGTTTATTTTTTTCTCAGAGTTGGATTTTACATCACCGTGATTGATCAAGATGACGCTTATTTGTTATCATGCTGATCTTTCCTGCTTTGAACTCTCGGATTGATTTGGATACACGTTTACGTTCGTGAATAGTTTTCTGACAACACTTTACTCTGATTTGCGATTTGTCAGTGTTCTTTCAGTAGCTTCATCTCTTTTTGTAATTTGTTTATCGATGCAATCATATTTGTTTGTATATTTATTTTGTTCAAACATTTTGATTAGATTTTTTAAGCTTTTCCTTCTTTGATTCTTATGTAATTTGGTTCGTACTTCTGATTCGATTAAAAAAAGAGAGATGGTTTGGTATAAAATCAATGGGTACTATTCCCTCAAGAAATCCGCCATGCACATGCCCAACAGCCGTTCAACAAAGCTAAAATCCAAGACAAACGACGAAACAAGCACACAATCAAAAGCGAATCATCGTCCCATGTCTGCTCTCTTCACCCCACTTCACTCACTGGGTTTAGGGTTCCAAACATATATCTTATAAGAGGGAAGAGACGAGGATCGTTCATTAATTAAATTTAAGACTGACGCTACGTACATAGTATATTTAGAAAGCTTTGTTTCTTATTTACATTTATGATCAGTAATTAATAAACTGATTAAAGGAAGTATTATTTTTTAGAATAAATTTAGATTTAAACAGTAATATTATTATACGAAGTCTTCTCCTAAGGCAATAGGTAATGATGTTATCGATAAAGGCATTGAAATTTTGAGAGGGAAGAGGTTAAAAGACAATGAGCTGACAAAGGCAGTGAATATTTGGAAGAGAGAGCAGTGGCCAGTGGGTGTGATCTCCTTGTAGGGCTGACTCCCCCCTGCAAAACCCATTTAATCATAATCTAATGATTTTCTGCTTTCTGGGTTTTTTTAATATTAATGTTTTGGAGTTTTGTTGTTGAACGGTTGCGGCACCAGAATATTCTCTCCTTCCCCAACGCTCTTCCAACTTTCAAGCTTTTACTAAAGGGTGTGTAAAGGAGTCGAGTTGAGCTCGAATATTATTGAGTTTAATTTGGTTTGAAAATTTTAAAATGGGGTTTGAATTAGCTCGAAAACTCGTGAACCTAAAATTTTCAAGCTCGATTTGAACTCGAAACTATGAATTGAAGCTCGAAATGAAGAAGAAAAAAACTTAACTCAATTAAAGCCTCAAACTCAAAACTAAATCTTAAATACATGAAAATATTATATTATATATATATTTTTAAAAGAAATCAACACATAAATTAATAATTTATTTTTTAAAACTAAATCTTAATATATTATATTTTCGAGCTGCTTGCAAGCTTTTCGAGTTGAGTATCAAGTAGTTCGTTTCGACTCGTTAAGAACTCGAGTCGAGTATTTATCGAGCTTTGACCGAGTCGATCTCAAATAGCTCACGATCTATCTAGTCTCATTTACAACCCTAGTTTTACTCTTCTCTCGTTCTTATGATTCTTATTTTGATCACTGGAATTTAATTTTTTTAATTTAATCATTAAATTTCAAATTATTCATATTTTAGTCACTTGACATTTTATCCATCTAACGATATACCAGCTTGACCTTTTTTATTAATTTTTTAGACTGGCCACCGAATTTAACTTATGTTTCACATGAGTCCAAAAACGTGAATTAAACTCTAAACATTCACTGGAACTTTTCCACCTTTGCTTTTTATTTTCATTTTGCGGTACATATGGCACAACCTAGATGGTCTCCCTTGCATTTAATCAAATACAATAACATTGAATATCCTTTTTGGTATCAAAGGTCGACTCTTTATGCTACGATAATTTGAAATAATCGATAGAACAAATCAAACGACATCGGTACTTATCTCATATTAATAAAAAAAAATATAGGACCCTTTCTAATCACATTAACAATACCATATGATTTTCTTAAAATAATACTAGTTCACTAATTTTACCATCATCGTGAAGTTTATATAAGTGGAGAGAATTTATGTCAATCCGACAATATGTATTCTTCATTGGAATTTGATTCAATCTGAAAATCATATATCCTCCATTCGATTCGACTTGACCCAAAAATATATATTATCGTTTGACTTCGACCTGACTCAGTATAAAATAAGGAATTAATTTAAAATAATAATAAATTATTTTAAGGAAATTACATTATTATCCTCGGATTGAAATGACCATCCAACTCAGTTGTTAGAGCACAAGGTTCTTAACCTTGAGGTTTTGGGATCGAGTCTCACGGAGGGCATTTCATAATTCAGAGGTCTCCTACGGAAGCTGCTCTCAATTTGGTGTTGGGGGCAGCCTACTATCTTACCTCCCCTTACCCCATACATAAGGGAAAAAAGGGACATTATTATCCTTGGGTTGAGTCGGAGTTTTTCCACCCTCCCGTCACGACCTCACTCCTTAAAAACCGGATCCGACTCGACCAGATCAGAATCCAATTTTTTTTTTAAAAAAAAAACTGAATTAGAATCCGTCGATCTCAAGTTAAATTGTCTTCCTACATGTATATAGTGTAATAGTTTTTTTTATATAAAATAAAGCAATGATGCAAGATTGACCGAAACAAATTCAGTATCGAAGACGACAAATGTTTGCTCTATTGACTCATCATCCTTATGATCATACACATATTATCAATATACAATGAACACTGAAGCAAAGCATGCGATATTATATATGTCACTTAGTGGATTTGGATTATTATATATCATGGACTCTACCTTTGTTTTTATTCCAAGTATTGACCATTGCGTTAATTAACCCACTCATGACCTGAATGACCTCCTTCAAGTTCACTTGTGTCTTATGACTATTGAAACTGTTGGAAGGATTTAGGTACAAATATTAATTAATTAATTGTGATGAATGATATAACACAATTATAGTGAGAAAAATATATTCCGATACTTATTTTAAGCGCTAAAATTAATAATTTAGGTACTAAATATAAAATCTATTTTTCTATTTTTTTTCTATTTTTAATTATGTCAGCAGTTAAACTATTACCTTTCAATTGAGTTGACCGGTCCAAATTAATTTTGACACCCTATAGTAATAAACACTCGTGCAATGCCATACAAAAATATCAAAGATTCTCCTTTTGACCTTTGGGGAGGAAAAAAAAGAAAGCAAAAGTAAACCCCCACTCTCCAACTTTGAAGATATATCTTTTGTAAAAGGGAAATGGGTAGGGACTAGGGACAGTCGATTTCATGTTTCTTATGTAAAATATCATAATTCATGTCAGTATCGGATCTAAAAATTGAAAAATAGGGTCAAAAATTTTAATACTCGTTTCTAAAAAATTTGGGTGTATAAATTTTCTTATTTCTTCTTATTCTCATTAGTAAACTAAACTAAATTTAACATTTCTCTCAAAATAATGGGTGTGCAATAGCTCCCCTATAAAGCTATGTACATACGCACCTGGTCCATGCACAATGATAAAGAGAGAGACATAGGCAAATAAAAAAATTTATATTATGAAAGAATTTAAATTTATAAAATTTTAATGACGAACTTAAATTCACAAAATTATAAAAAAAAATATTTTTAATAAAAATACATATAAAAATTAAAAATATATGATGATTTTAAATTTTTAGCTCCGTCTCACTTAAATACATCCCTTTATGATGGGGTAAACAATACCTAAATAAAAATAGAATTAACTAAACAATGTTGCCATCAAATCAACTGATTGGGGAGCACTTCAAAGTTGCACTAATTAAGGAAATTGAAGATGACAAATGATATGATGTGAGCAAGGATGAATCGAGTGGAGTGGACGAGAGTAGTTGTTTCTTTTGGAAATTTAAAATTATTATATTTTAAAATTTTAATATATTTTATTAAATCTTTAAAATTTTAAAAGTTTAAGCGTGTACTTTCTAACATGAAATTTTGGATGTAAGAAAACATATGGAAAGACAGGTTTGTGTTGCAGATTGTACCAAGTGATCATTGACTGATTCGAGTGTTGGAATTGAGAAGAAGAAAAAGACAAGGTTTCATTCAAAATGAGATTTAAAATTTGTATGATCTTTTTGTATTTCATTTACTTTAGTGTAGTCTTTATGAGCTTTGACGCTTTATTATCACGTAAATAAAAAATGTTTTTTATGACATATACTATCTAGTCATATAAAGTAATGCGACACATACATACAACAACATGATAGAAGTTATCATCTTAACTAACATAATATATATCACATCATTATCTTGAATGATATCATATATGTTACAACATCATCTTAAATAATATGATATGTGACATGTCAATAATTTAATATATGTAAAAATATTACGTGATTCATGTGTTGATAATGATTTGCATCAAATGGGAATCATTTTGATAAAAAAATTAAAATATTTTTAAAAAAATGAACTAAAATGAATATTTGGATAAATATTATAGACTAATTTTAATATTATATCTTTAGTAGTTTATCCTGCATGTCTCAACATAAAAGATATAGATTTGGATCATATGGGTATGGGATTACCTTGCTTTCATTGCATGGGCTCTAAACTAATTAATTTCTAAAAAATGAAAATTTTTTGGGTTGCCTTCTCGATTTTAAGGTATCACCTTGACTAATTCAGATCTATCTGCATCGCATACTTGGTTTTGATGGGTGAGTCTCTTAACAAGGATTTTATGCATAAACAAATATTCGAACTCAGGACCTTACTTGAAGGCTATCAAGTTTCTTACCACTTGAACCAACCAATGTTTTTCTCACAACGATGAACAACCCACGAGTCTAAACACTGTCAGCAACTTTAAATTGTCAGAATACTTTTACAAAAGGGGACCAAGATTAAATTGTCAATTTTTAGAGGAGACAAGGAGCAATTTTATCACTTTATTAAATACAATGTTTTACAATTTTGAGACCAACTTTTACTAAACTAGGGCGACTAAAGGGAAATTTAACCATTTTATTTACTAAAAAACTAGGTAAAAGGGTAAATTTTGCCTATGTAGTAGGCTCAATTTATCACTTTCGCCTTTATCGTATTTTCACATTAATTTAACTCTCAAAATTACTCAATTGTATCATTCTATATCTTATCCTAAATTATAAACCCTAAAACCTAAACCATAATCCCATAACATTTGAACCATAAATCTTAAAGCCTAACTTAGGGTTTATAATTAGGGTTTTAAGTTAGGGGTAAAGTATACAATGATGCAATTAAACAACTTTGAGGATTAAATTGATGCAAAAATACTACTATGTCAAAAATGATAAATTTGGTCTACTTCAGAGACAAATGTAACCCTTGAGCCAAAAAACTAGGATAAAGTACACAAATGGTCCCTTGACTATAGGGTGTTGCTTTATTGAATCCTTTAACTATTAAATTTTACAAAATGGTCCCCTAACTATAGGATGTTGCTTTCTTGAGTCTCTCGACTATTAAAAGTTACAAAATGGTCATTCAAATATTCATCATGTTCTAAACCCGTCTTTGTCTATTAAAAACTATATGACAGTTTGAGCTAGACGCTAACCTACTGACTGGTATATAATAGTTGTTTGAGATTCTATGATCATATTATACCATATCTCAGTCAGCATATTAACATCCATCTCAAACTGCCATCAATTTTTTAACGAAAAAGGGTGAGTCTGGAATGCAATGAATAGTTAGGTAACTATTTTGTAACTTTTAATAGTGGAAAGACTCAACAAAGCTATTTTTTATAGTTAAGGGATCATCTTATAACTTTGAATATTCGAGGAACTCAATAAAATAACATCCTATAATCGGGTATCATTTGATACTTTGCCCTAAAAATATAATTTTGATGATGGTTAAAAGAACACGTTTACGCTAATAAAAGTAAAAGAAATGGTGGTTTACTTGATGATTAAACACAAGAAATATCCACAATGGTGAGACAGAGACACTTGTCTAGACGTTTGGTAGGCTGTCAATTTCATGGCCACAACTCTTAATCCTCTCTGGATGAATAAAATTAATTATCCAACTTTTCATCATTATACTATCATCTACCCATGTGATAACCCAACAAGCATTAGTTGTTCAGTCAAACAATCCAAACCCAAGAGATGTAACTATCCTCCATGTCTTGCAACAACCAAACATCTCGTTTTCAGCACTTAAATAAAAAGGGTAACCACACTAACAGTCTATGAACTTTTAGAACGTTTGTACTTCGGTTACTGAAATCGAAAATTTTTCATTGGAGTCACTTCTATTAATGAACAACTGAAGTGACATATTTATGCGTGTTACTGTCTTATTGGATGATATTATTTTTATTAAGAAAAATAACAAATGAAAATGCAATCTTAATGGTTGGAGTTTGGACCAATGACCTAAATAAAAGTTTGGGTAAATTACGTGTTTAGTATCTAAGCTATCAAGTTTAGTTCGTTTTAGTTTTTGTTTCAAACTTTTAATTTTTTCAAAATTGTACCTAAAGTTTAGTTTTTGTTTCATTTTCGTACTCCGCAGTTAAAAACTTTAGTTTTTGTTTCATTTTAGTATCCTGTTCAAAATTTAACATTAAGTTTTGGAAAATTGAAAGTTTAGGTGCTAAAATGGAATAAAAATGATAGTTTAGGTACTAAACGTGTTGATTTTTTACGACGGTACTAATATGAAATGAAAACTAAACGTTAGGCATGATTTTGAAAAAATTGAAAGTTTAGATACTAAAACAGACCAAAACTGATAGTTTAACTACTAAATGTGTAGTTTACCCAAAAGTTTTTCTTCACAATAATAACTTTAATGAAAGTTTTTTTTTATTTTGGTGATCAAAGTGAAAATCCTTCAAAACTTCAGTGACTATAACTCAATTTACCCAAATAAAAACAAAGAACTAAACATAGCATAGAAGCCTGGTATGAGGTAGTACCTATGAATTATGAAATACCAATTGTCAAGAAGACAGACAAAATTTCATCTAGGAAAGGAAGTACATTAGCACAAACCCTAAATGATCAGTAAATAAAATCATAATTCGGTTTCAACGAATCACATGAGGAAAACCGGAGACGAATGAATTAAAGCCACAAAGCCCCGGCATCTTTCAGCACAGGAACCAGCTCTCCACTAATATGAGTAGCCATAACTTTATCCAAACCCCCAAACAACCTACCGCCGATAAACACCGCCGGAAACTGCAACGTTTTTCCCTTTCCGCCACTCCCCCGGTCACAACAATCCATCATCCCCAACTCACTCAAAACGCCGGCCTCATCCTTCTCGTCGACCTCGCAGACCGCAGGGTTCACACCCAACGCCAGCAGCAAACGCCTCACCACATGGCTCATGCAACAGCCCTTCCTCGAGAACACAATCACCGCGTTCTCCGACACGATCCCGACCATGTCTTTGCCCACGACCGTCGTCGACGAGGCGGGTCGGGGAGTCGTGTCCACGCATGGCAGAGGCCATGATTTGTACGGAATCGCTTGCTGCATGCTAGCTAACAGGAAGAAGAAGAAATGCAAGTTGATGCATATGGAAGATGAGAAAGGATATATATATATATATATATATATATATATATACATACAAGGTTTGAAAGGGTCAGGCTTTCAACGGCAACGCGTATGTATTAACACGGGCTTATAATGGCTGACGTCGATGTGGTGTCATTGATCTTGTCGTGCCATTACTATAGATGCTTTCAATTTATTAATTTTGGTTGTACATTTATCTAATTACGTAGTTGCTTCGTGTAACTGATGGGACATATTTTGTAATGAATTAAATGTGGAAAAGATAAATTATTTTATTATTTCGACTCATTACGTCATCTGTAATTCTAATAAATTATGTCTATGAATTTTAAATAATTATTCATTCTTTATTTACATGAAGGAAAGATGTGAATATTCATTTAAAAAATAAAATAAAAAATTTTATTAATTAGGATCACGAATGACGTAATGAATCAGATTCATCTAATAATGTTGGAAGCTCATGAGAAATAGTGAAAATTGAGTAATGGTATTTGTCATCAGCATGCTATGACGTTCGCCATGTACAAATGAACCTTTTCTCCATTACAATGAATAAATCCCATGTTATGATCTCCACGTCTGCATTCATAAACGAATAAGTCAAACACTCAAACTCTAATACTAATAAAAAATATTAAATTTCAAAATTTTTAAAAATATAATTTATTTAATTTAAACAAAATTATAAAAAATTCTATGTGACTAATCTTATTTTTTATTAATACGTGACTAATCTTAACTTGAATATAACACCCATGATTCATTAAAAAAAATGGGAGAAAAAAGCATCAAAGTCTTGTACTTTTTGAGAAAAAACCAATGTGGCCCTCATAATATTATTTTCTCTCAAAGTGGTCCTCCATCTCAATAAAAACTCAATGTAACCCTCTGACCAACTTTTTTGTCGTTGGTTGTTACAGTACTAGCGTGTCAGTTCACGGTGTTGACGTGACGGTTCACGATGCTGACATGACATACAATCTGTCATGTTAGAGTTATCAATTTAGTCCATCTTCCATGTCATCTATTATGTTAATCTTTCATGGTAGTACCGTGAACTGTTACGTCAGCACTATTATAGTCAATTATGTAAAAATGTTGGTCAAATGATCACATTAAATTAATTTTCTGAGTTGAAAGATCACATTATAAAAAAATACAAGAACTAAATTAATTTTCCTTTTAAAAAAATTACAAGGACATATGATGTTTTTGCCCAAAAAAAAAGTATAACATAGAGATTAGTGTATGTAAGAAGTAGTTTAGTTTAGAAGAAATAGAGTGGATATGATTAATGTGAGCCACACCACACGCACGCCCAGTGGCTCATTGCTAGGGGACGGTGCGGGAACCCCAGACGTAACCTTGCCATTTACCTTACATCACCTAACGTGCGCTGTGAGGTCACGTCATGGCCCCAGAATATTAATTCTCTTCCATTTTCTCCAAAATGGTACATTTACTCCTAACATATTTAAATAAAATATATAGACAAAAAATTAATTACCAGATTTTCTTTAAAAAACATTTTTTAATATTTTATATGATAATTTTGTAAAATTAAATATTTACCCCAAATTTATATTTACTTCTGTAAAATATAATCTTCTTAAAAGTACTTATCTGCTTAATTAATGCGGGGCATATAGAAAGTCTCAAGTGCGACAATTAATATATGACTAAGAAAATGTATTACCGGTTTTATTATTATTATTTTAATAAAATCAGTAAAAAAATTACCGGAAACATTATTATTTCTATCAATTTTATTATTATTGGGCGCTTTACAGGGTTTGATAATATATTCGGTAGAAAAAATAATATTTTAAATAACGCTTTATTATATATATTACCAAGCTCGGTAAAACGCTCAATAATATTTTGGGTAGAAATAATAATGTTTCTAGAAATTTTTTACTGATTTTGTTAAAAAAATAAAAAAATCAATAAAATCTTTCGTTAATCGTATATTAAGACTGCCATACGATAGAACTTCCTCCATAATATCTGATCTGTTGGTGCCGAACTATCTGATAGCGTTACCATGATGTCAGAAATATACCTTTGCCCTCGATAACATCTAATTGTGTTTTAATAATATTTTTAGGGTTTACAAGTGTGTTAGATATGGAAAACATTAACTGGTCATTAAAGGTTTAAAATTTTGGCAAAAAGCATTAAAGGTCTCTGCACTTAAAAAAAATTAATGTAGTTATTGTATTGTTTTTTTCTTGATGTGTCTTCCAACTCAGAAAATAAGCTCAATGTGATCTTTTGATTAATGTTTTTTGTCGTCGACCGTTATACTGTTGATGTGGTAATTCAAGATGTTGACATTCTGGTCCACTGTGATTGATAACGTGAAGGATAACATGACATATAGGCTAAATTGGTAACTTAATTACGACAGATAGACTGCCACATCAGTACCATGTACAATTACGTCAGCACCGTAACAATCAAAAGATGAAAAACGTCGATCAAAAGATCACATTAGATTTATTTTCTGAGTTAGAGGGCACGTTCAGAGAAAAACAAATATGATAATAGCTACATTGATTTTTTTTTCTCCAAAAGTATAAGGATTTCTTATGTCTTTTTACCTAAAAACTGTAACATTGTTTAGGTACGTTATTATAAAAAAGAAATAATAAAACTTAATAAACGATTTGAATGATAAAAGATAATATTATATCTTTGTAATTTTATCTATAAATATAATTAAATTTAACTAACTTTAATATTAGACATACATACTACTCTATAATATTTTTATTCAACAATAAAGAAAAGTCAACAAAAGTTTTCCTTTCAACCTCCTTATAGCCTTTAATACATCAGCCTACAAATTCTTCGAAAAATCACAATCAAATAACATAGAATCGTTAATTTCATGCTCTCTATCACAAAGAACATAAGTAACTTACTCTTAAGTTCTGACAAAATGGCTGAGTAAAAGATGTGAGAAAAAATTCTCAATATAATTCACCCCGGGATTATTTTCCCATCTAGGGTGAGTTGTACAGTACCAATCTAAAGATATCAGGTGCTTCACGTATTTTCGATCTAAATATGAAGACTCCACGACTCCATGATGTCTTCAGGCAAATGAAGAAAACCTCACGATTGCATGACGTTTTCAGGCAAATAGACCCAAGAGGGCACGATGTTAATTCAGAAAATAATATAGTTGATGTTTTATATGGAAAAATATTTTTTCCCAAATCCCTATATGGGCGAGGAATCCCTTAAGTTCCATAAGAAATAAATATACACACTAAATATTTAGAAATATAAAAGAGAGAATTCGAAATAATAAAATCAATAACTATGACCGCAACTCTCAATTTCAATAGTAAAAAGTTGAGATTATTAAAGTTTTGAACCCTTATTAAATCAAGGGTAAAGTAAACAAATGGTCCCCAACTATAGGATATTATTTTATTAAATCCCTCGACTATTAAAAGTTACAAAATGATCATCTGACTATTCATTGTGTTACAAACTCATCATTTTTCATTAAAAAATTGACGACAATTTGAGTTTGACATTAACTTGCTAACTGAGATATGATATAAATTGATCCCATAATCTTAAACGACTATGATATCCCAATCAACAGGTTAACGTCCGGCTCAAACTACTATCAATTTTTTAATGGAACAGGACGAGTCTAGAAGACAATGAACAGCCAGATGACCATTTTGTAAATTTTAATAGTCGACGGACTTGAAAAGCGATATCTTATAATTAAAAAATCATTTTGTAATTTTTAATAGTCAAAAGACTTAATAAAATAATAATCTATAGTCGCAAGACTATTTATATACTTTACCCTTAAATCAAATCTCAACAACTCTACCAATGAATTAAGATAATAATAATAAACCACGATAAGTTATAGACATAAAACCCCACGCCAGTGTCACGAGTTGAGATTTGTTTGGTTTTTGTGACAGATTTGGATGATTACTATCGCACACTAATTATAACCACTTGTCATTGGCAGTGAAAATGTCAGAAAAGAAAGTAAAATTTTACCTGCTGCATCAAAATATAGTTGTTCCCCTCAAAAGTGGATTGCACATCATGCTCGGCTTTCAGATGACCAACACGATTCTCAGTCTTTAATCCTTGTCCTCCACAATCCTCACGACATTCCTAAAGCATTCAACGATTGAATGTCTGTAATGACACTTATTGTTGAAATGTTCAACTTAATCCGAAATTGTTTGTAGTCTCACCTGAAGTATTTTGCATGTTACTCCATGTAAAAGTAGCCTTGAATGGTCTTGTTTGATTGGGGTGTCCTCTTCACATGCAGCATTTTCAAGTAATTGGCTCCAAAGGTCATAGCATAGCTGCAGCATAAGAAAGTCCTTAAAGTTGACTTGGTTGGCACTCCAAGTCCAAATACAAGGATAAGATGTTTGTATTCAGGACCTAATCCTGTGATTATTCATTAAACGTGCAGATGATACAATCTTGAGTGCATTGGTACCAGCCTAAACCAGAAAGAAATGAAAAGGAATACATATTTCTTAAGATAAACGGTACAGATACATCTTTGTGAGGAGAGGCAAGAGTCGTCGTTGATGACTCGGGTAATCAAGCAATAAGACCTCGGGCTCGTTCGGCTCAAGAGAAAAAGGCCCTCCTTGTTAGAGCATACCTGATAGCAATAGTTAAACCGACCTGAAAGGAGAGTAATGACATGATATCAGTAACCTTAACATTTGGTATTACTGGCCTGCCACCCACACCTCAAAATACAAATGCAAAATCTTATCCACCATTAAAATGAGATCAGATACTTGAAAAGAAAAATGAGGTATACCTTTGACTGGTAAACTGCATTAACCGCAACATTAACACGGCCTGCTGTCATAGGTGTCAGGAATGCAGAAAATCTCTGAATTAAAGCAACAGAAATGGAAGAGAAAACAACAAAGTGTTACCGAGTAAACAAGGATACCAGTCAACTCAAATTATTATT